TTTTTTGGTAGAACAATGTTGAATAAAATAACATAATGTCATTGCTTTCTCTCGCGATTGAGGAGAAAATAATACGAAAAAAGTAAAAAGCGTATGTGGTGGTCTGTACGGTATGATGAACGAGACTGAAACTAAGGATGGGGGATGGGTGAGAATATTTCTTTCATTTCTACACCCACACTCAAATGTTTGCCAATGAAGACAGAATATTCTTTTCTTTTGTAGTATTTCATTTCTTTCTAATGGAAATTTTTGACATAATAAAACAATGCAAAACAATTTATGTGACTTGTGCACATCGTAGTTTCTTTTAATGCTGTCATATAGCAACGCTAGTGAATGTTTTGCATTAAGCAAAATACAATTCTGTTTCAGTATTGATTCTGCAATTGCGTTGATACTGCATCGAAAATGTGTGGAAGAAAAAGAGAAAAAAAATCTTCTATATGTGCTCCTGTAGATTAAAGAGAGGTGCTGTTGTTTTCACTTTGGACAAAAATATAATTCTTTTTTAATGCATTTCTTCTGTTCTGATTTTTGTTGTTTCATTTTCAAACTTTGACGATTTGCTTCATAATATAGTTCGTATTTTATTTAGAAGAGAATTAATATTCTTTACCAATGAAACCACAAGAAAGTATTAATAATTATAATCAAGAACTTCGAGATATGCAATCCGAACTTGAAACATTAACATTACAAGATGTTCATGCTGGTGGTTGTTATAATCATGCAACTGGTTATCGTATAGCTTATCTACGAGCTCAAATGCATGTAGTTACTTTGAAGAGAAATGCAGAAATTAAACAACTTTATTCAAAATTTGTCAATGGTTCAGAAAAAGATTAGAATAATTCGAAAAGACATAAATAAATCTTGAACATGCTCATTATTATCGAATTTTTTTTTATTTCCATATTGAATAATTACGAAATCATATCAATAGTCTTTATAAGTTTTAGACAGGCGTTGTGTAGTCTTCTAACTGCGGTGATGGGCATAATGACTCGGTAGAATGTTCTGGATAGATTTTACTGGAATGTTTTTTAACCAAACGTCGTATTCTATTGAATAATGGTAATCCAATGAGTTTGATAGCAATAAATAGAAGTCCAAATAATTCTAAACAGACAATTGTAAAAAGAAGATTATGAAAAATGACTTCTGCTTGTTTAACAATAGGTTGTTGATGATTCATAATAAAATAAGTTGTTTCTGATAGAGAAATTGAGAATGATGTTTTTAATAAACCATAATACATATAATTATCATAGGTAAGAAAAAGATCTGAAGTACTGGTAAGACTAATCAGACTCCATAGAGCATTATAATCAGTTTCTCCATTATCATCAAGTGAATCAGTTTGATTGATAACACGAATAAGTTCAAATTCAATATTTGGATCATAAGCCATTGTCTGATTGTTATTCAGGAATGGTTGAATAAAGTTAAGCTCACGAACAAGATAATGTATATTGCTCGATGAATTACGTGATTCGAGTTGTTGACCATAGAAACGAACTCGAAAACCACCAATTGATCTCGCATAAGTAAAATCATAGTTAAGTTCGATTGTGTGTGATTGAAGGACAGTCGAAATCGTAAGTATGGATCGATTATAACTGCAATTTGATGATATCGCTTTCGAATAAGCATGAATAGTCTGCGTAACCTCTACGTCATCACATGTTTGTTGAGTATTGATAAAATCAATAGTGAGTATAAATTGTTGTTGCTCGAGTAAATCAAACATTGGTTGTTCTTCTTCATTACGAGGTGTTGAAAGTGATTGAAGATTTGTATCAAATTTTGCATTACGAAGTGTGTCATCACATGCGAATGTAGATGGTGATGTAGTTTCAATTGGATATTGATGTAAATAAGATTGACTGAAGTGATAGGCAAATATCAATAACACGATAAGGGCAATGGAAGCAAGTCCACCGACCCATAATTCACCTTCGTTAATAAGATCTGCTCGACGAAAGATATGTTTAATTAAGAGACGAGTTTCATGATGTTGTTTTGATAATTTAAGAATACCCATAATAAGAAGAATAAGCATTATAAAACCGCTCACGACTATGACCCAGAATGTAGGTGAAACAAGTAAACAATGAGATGAACCACCAAGTGTAAACATATTCTGAATAAGAATATCATCGAAGATAGTAGATTCAGGTGATTTAGGATAACTAAGTTCTTGAGAGACAAATGTGATCATATCTGAATAAGTATCATTTGTGATTGAACCAAGTGGACAAAATGAATTTTCTCCATCGCAATCGTATGGTAAACAGCCAGTACTTCCTTCTACTGTAGTCATTGTTCCCATTGTGCATGGATAACATATATAAATACCTACCCAATATTTGTAGGTACCTACTGGACATAAAATAAAATCAGAAAATGTAGGATTCGAACCGATAGCTACACTTGTATCTGGATAAGAGCCTGTTGGAGCTTGTAACATGACATATATCTGTCCAACTGAATCGAGAAGTACAAGATTGAGTGTTGACATAGCGATAGTAATCAGATGTTTACCAAGATCAACCCATTGAGGACATTGAACTGTAGGATACAATGGCATGATCGGATCGCTTGAGATAAATTGATACCAATAGAACCAGTAGATAATCGAGCTAGACCATTGATAAGGAAACGTATATGTATTTCCTAGTATAACAGGATATGGACCTCCGTCTTCATCGCTCCATCCTAAACTTTGACCATAACCACGATGATATCCATTGTCACGAGATGCTAACAATGATAAATTCGTTGTCGCCATAGAAAACCAGAAGACAATATTGTAAGATGGCATACCAACAAGTACAGCTGAAGTATTATCATGCATAGAGACACTCATAATATGTTTTCGAGTAAAACTACTTGCATCTCTATTCGATGTTGTAGCTTGCCACGAGCTATTCGATGGTATATATGACCATGTATCAATAATTGTAAAGAAACTTCGATTCATTTGTAACATGTAGACAATAGGTTTATATTTATTCTGTGAATCACTAATAAAACCAGCGATTATAGCCATATGACTACTACTTACATCGACAGCATGTGGTGTAAAGTTTGCCAAGGGCCATTGTGATAAATACGTAACATTGTGTGTTTGTAAATCGTAGCTGAAAGCAAATCGACTGGAAAATCCATACGCTACTTGACCTGATGGATCGACACTTTGTACAAAAAACTCATCGTGTCCAAATGGAACGAAATAATACATATTGTATGTAGTTTGACAGGATAAATTTGCAAGTAGATGTCCAACGAACGGATATGATGATGTCGAATTATTGATATTTTCACCAATGAAAACCATAGATACATCATTAGAGACTACTTTTGGTACATCTATACTGTAGATAAAATTTCTGTTACCTGTAACAACGCCTGGATAATCAATGTAACATGGTGATGATAAATTAGATGGATTGAATGGAGCGAATTGCAGAACAAACTGAGCATCTTGATTACGTGCTTGCGCTACGACTCCATCGTTTGTTGCCAATTTTACACCATATGCATCGAAACTATTCCATTGATCTTCAGTAAAACTATACAATAATACTAATTGTGTAAGTATTAAGAAAAGTAACTGCCGAAGAAGCATATCAAATGAAAATGATAATAATTTACGTATGTTTATTATTCTAAAAAAAATATAATGAATACTTATTTTCTTTTTTTGTTACTGCTAGTTGCTTGTACTCAAATATATATAGTCGTGTTTACTTTTAATTTTATTCTGGAAATAATTGAAAACAAACAATAAGAAAAGCAATCGATACTTATAAAACAAATATTTGATTTTCATTTCATCATGGTAACTATACTTTGTAATGAGAAATCTATATTAATGAGATGTTTCTACCTTGTTTGGAATATCATTCAGTACGTCTTGTTTTCTTTAAACATCTTTTAAAAGAACAACGGAAAAAATATCGGCATAAAGTTTTACTTTTTCTCTATGCGTCGTTAAGGTAGCTTTATATAAAATTTGTAATTATATTGAATAACAAATAATAGAAGTCATGCCAGTAGAAAAAGAATTGTTTGTTGACAAATACAACGTTCGGAAAAAGAAATAATGAGATTAAAATAAATAAAAAAAAGTGATGCAATTAATTCATAACAAGTTTTGATTTACAAGTACAAAAAAAAGTAAAGTCAGGAAATAATTTTGCACTTGATTTTATGCTTCCTAACAAAAGTATAAGTCCAGCATGTAGAAATCCGTTTGATTGATTGCTTTCAAAATATTCAGTTGGAAATGAAATCAGTATTCAGAAAATTTCAGAGTGGGTGTAATTTTTCTTGAATCATCAGAAACATGTTATCGAAAAAGGATGAGTTTATTTTTAATTCAAATTTCAATCAGTTGATTATCAAGAAAAGAAAGAAAAACATTATTCATGATTAATTTGATTA